CATCAGGGGCATTCAGGTCCTTGCCAGACCGCAGCTCCATATATCTCCTTTTTTGGTATTTTCATGCAAATTCTTCTGCTAGTTGGGGTTTAGTCTACTTCTGTATCCTTCCCTTCAAGGCTCAGCGGTCCAAGATTATCTTCTGTGTCCGTGTCAAATGGTTTCCCTTTTCTTTGTTGAAGAGGGTCTGTGCAGTCCTTCTGCCTAGTCCGCCATCTTGCTGGAACTCCCCATGGTTGCTCCTGTTAAGGTTTGAGGGTGGACCTCAAAGTCACCTGTGCACTCCACAGATGATTTCTTCTTCCTTTTATTTCAAAGACAGCAGCAGCCCCACCCGTGTAGCTTTCATATACTTTCTTATGACCCTGATTGCCTATCTGAGAATAAAAGTTTTTTTAGTGAGAGCTTACATTCTACCAAAAACTGTTTGACCTGATGTTCTATTCTTTTTACCATTTTTACATCAAGGTTGCGTAATAGGAAAATGAAAATGATGTGTTGTGGCCATAAAAGTAACAAAATTTCTTTTTAAAAATGAATGGAGTTAATATTTTCCCCATCCCATACTGTGCCACTTATTTTGAAGGAACATGGCAAACAAAAAGATCAGAAGAGTGTAATACTGCAAGGAAACAGTGATTCAGGAATGTAAGGTTTATAACTTGCCCTAACTCAGCAACCATGGGCTGAACTCAATTTTTTCATTGATGTTGATAGATAATTACTCCCAAATTAGTATTTGAATGCTGGTGTTTAAAAATCAGTTAATCTAAGAATCAGAGATTGTACCATCATAATTCATGTCACCTTATACCCATTGTTTTTTTGTTGTTGTTATGTGCCGTCGAGTCAGACCCAACTCATAGCAACCCCTCCTTGGGTTTCCGAGGCAGTATCACTACGGAAGTAGATTGCCCCATCCATTACTACCACACTATGTCTTGATGACAATGTTCCTAAGAACTAACTTCTCAAACGTTTTAAATTACATTAACTTTATAGCACAATTATTAAGTTTAAGATTTAAATTATAAAAGGCTGATGATACTCTTGTTTCCTGCTAGACTCAGTTTCCCATTCTCTGAAGTTCTATAATGTAATATTATTACATAGAGTTAGCTTGTCATTGTCATGATTTCTAATCCACTAAAAATACTTTTTAAAAAGGAGCAAAAGCTTCAATGTGAAACAAATCTTCTCCATATACTAAACTACTAAAGAAAGATACTACTTTACTAGAAAGGTAAGGATATTTGAAAGAAGACAGCTATTTCACAGTACATAAGGAACATATAAGGAGTTGTTAAGAAAAAGAGAATTCAATCTCCATGTCCTTGCATTTAATAACAAGAATAAAGAAAATTAGGAAAACCCCATATTTAATAGTATAGGCCATTTTTAACCATATAAAGTAAGATTAAAAGTTGCAAAGAACTTGAATTTGCATCAGTTTCTTCAGGACACACAAAACAATGCTGAAGTTAAGTTCTAGTTTCAAATAGCATTTAGAAGGAGATTGCAACAGCTAGGAAGATAAGTAAAAAAATCTTTTTTTTCCCCTTTAATTCAAAATTTGTATAGTTTTCCTTGAATGTTTTTTGGTCCATTTATTCTGTATCTCTTACCATTGAGAATGTGGAGAAATTTCAGTGTAGCTTGTCTGAGCAGTTCTGAACTGGTCCACATTACCTCTTGCGTGTCCATCTGCTTGCATCACTTCTGCAGCAAAGCCTAAAGCAAGCTGCGATTGGACAGATGATGTGTGGAGCATCCTCCCTCAGTTAAACCAGATTAGTCCATCTCAAAAGTTACATCTCTTTAAGAAGCCATCCCCAGCTAAGTGTGCCTCTGGGCTTAGTTGCTAAAATCATCTCATTGATGATGAAGCAGCAGTGTTTCAGCCTAAAGCTTTTCTACTATTTTGTTGTTGTTGTTGTTGTTATGTGCCGTCGAGTCGGCCCCGACTCATAGCGACCCCTCCTTGGGTTTCCGAGGCAGTATCACTACGGAAGTAGGATTGCCCAACCTTCCTTCCGAGGAGTGGCTGGTGGGTTTGAACCACCAGCCGTCTGGTTAGCAGGCAAGTGTCTTAGCCACTATGTTATGGTTATTGTTCAATGGCCAAATTTTTCATTGGAAAGTAAATCTGAATAATTTGTGGGATGTGGAAGATTCTGTGTCAACTGCTTTAAGACAATCTTTCATTTTGTCATTTCATTCCAATCTGAATTAAAGCTAAGCTAATGACACAATGGCAAATTTAAACTTAATACTGATGAAAGGCATTTGTAGTTCATAGAAATTCTTCTGTGAAGGATAACAGATGTTTGTTCATGTAAGTTACCATTTTGATAATGCATGTCTTATGGTTTATGAGAGAAAAAAACAGTGGATCAGCTTTGCTACATTTTAATAGTATGTTTTTTGAGGGATTATTTTTTAGGTCTGGTCAGCAACATCAAACAAAAGCTACTGAGTACTCCACAGGGTACAGAGTGCTGCCAAGCACCTTAGAGAATTTACATGACATGGAGAAAATGCAGTTCTTGCCCCATGAAGAGCTTACAGTCTGGGGATCTGACAACTTGTAGTCTGAGACATCAATGAACAGCAAAATGATTCATGAAGACAAATTCTTCATGCCCTAGTGCTATCATGGATAGAATCATTTTAGAATTTGAATTAATACAACCAAACTGACAGGCAAAACTAAATTTGGTTGAGTTTTTCAGGCTCACATAGTTTTATTAACATCTATCTAGTAAAGAGAACTGACCTAATAGACAACTGAAAGTAAAGACTAGTTCTCTTGAAATGCAAGGGCTAAAATAACTTACTGTGGTTACTTAATTTAAAAGCAAACATACTGAATGGTATGACTAGGATTATACTAGTTTAAAAATATGCCAAGTACTGACACTGCATTCCCCTTATGCTAGCACTGTTCATTTAAAATAGTGAGTATTAAAATATGTGGGGTCTATATCTAACCCACAGAAAGCCCACCACAAATCTTAAAGTTCTGTGTATCAGTTATCCATTTTGTGTGTACTATGAAAGTTTGATTTTTGCCCCATTATTAAGTCAAAAGTAATGTGAATAGTCAAATTATAATATGCTAATGACCTGCATATTTTTACATGGATGAATGTAAGTATATCTAAATAGGAAATAAATGGCAGTCCTATCTACCTATACCAGAAAAAGAAAAACACAATGTCTTTCCAGATTGCATACTCATCACTGTAAGAAGAGGTATGCAAGTTTTAAAGTTTCACAATCAGTTGTCAGAAAAACAGCAGTTGTTCCTGCAATATCTCATTAGCATCTGGCTCAATTATTTTTAGAGTTTTATGATTGAGAAGACACTACTAACCACCTATCAGTTACCTTACAATAGCTGAATATCCATAAAAATTTGTAATCATTATGAGATGACTCCCAAGTGAAGCCTACAATCATCAGGAAGAGTAATAGTGTGATAGAGAACAACTAATCAGCATGACTAAAAACTATGCTCATTTTTCAAAAGAATCTGGTCATGTGGAAAAATTACTGCTGCAGTTTGGGACATACTCCCCATATGGGATGCTGATCTGCCCAAGACACACTACTTACTAAACAGGAAAACTGAGATCAGGGTGAATGAACTAAAGCCACCTCTGAGGAGCAGCCTACAAACTTCCAGACTGACTTTCTTCGACAGCGTAAGTGGTCCAAGTAGTTCCTCTTAAAGCACTTTCATAGTATCCTACCCACAGTAACCCGAAATTTGAAGTTAACTCAAAAACCAAAAGCATATTGGCACAGAAGTGAGCAGCTGTATAACTCTAGCACACTCTTATTGCTGTATTAAGTCTGAAGATGAGCATGTCCTACCCACAAGAGTTGTTCCAGGAAGTAGGGTAGAAATAATGGTAAATTAGAAAATAGACTATTAATTGTACAATTAATTGAAAAGTAAAAACATGTTTCAAAATCTACAATAAGCATGTGTCCAAAGGAGTCTCATACGTCAATGATGTGCTGGATTGTAAATTCTATGGTACAGCTGTGCAATGAAGGGACTCGCTCTGGCCTACTGGCATGGGTGTGGCTCACTTCTGGCCTGCTGAAGGGCGCATATGCTACACAGAGCTATGATGGTTTCTACTGAATAGTAAAATTCACAGAAGTTCCAGGGTATTCATGGCAGGATCATTCCTTGTGCAAAGTTTGATGTAGATGAAGATAAAGTGGTTTCTTGGTCAATAACTGTAATTTCTTTCTTTTAAAGTCAGTGGGTTTCTTGTATCTGTAACCACAATAGAAAGACCATTGCTTAAAATACTTTGATAACTGATCTATTCCAAAATTACCTACTGGATAAGAAGAAAGCCAAAATCACCACCACCAACCACTGCCATCAAGTCGATTCTGACTCATAGTGACCCTACAGGACAGAGTAGAACTGCCCCATAGGATTTTCTGTCTGTCATTCTTTCGTGAAACACACTGCCTCATCTTTCCCCCTCAGTGGCTGGTTGGTTACAACCACAGACCTTTTGGTTAGCAGCTGACTGCCTTAACCATTGCATTAATAGAGCTCCTTGAAAGCCATACAAGTCACTATTAAATTAACACTAATTCTTTATGTACATCACTTACAGTTCTATTACAATTGGCCCAGGTTTAATTTCATCCATCTCCATGAAAGCAAAACACTTGGTGCTGGTAAACCTTTTTTTAGGCTTGTAGTGTTTAAATTCAAAGAAGATAGCTGCACCTTAGGAATTTAAAAAGCAAAATGAAACACATTAAGCCACAGACAGTACAATACATTCAAAGCATGTTGATAAATTTTCTTTGATGTCCAGAGGTATATAAAGAAGTTACATACAGTTGCCATAATTTTACAAAGTAACTTGTCAACACAGTCTCTGTACAGCAAAACTTTTCTTGAGCTAGGCTGACACAAGAATGTATGTTTCATACACAGGTAGAATAATAAACTACTAAAGAATATAAAATATTAAAATACCACAAAAAGAATGTAGAAGATAGTTGTTAAGTATTAACACTACCCATGGAACATATTAGGTGTAAGAGGCATTAAAGGCATTCCTATGAAAAAGAATCCATAGGAGCCCTGGTAGCGCAGTGGTTAAAGTGCTTGGCTGTTAACTGAAAGGCTGGTGATTTGAACCCACTAGCCGCTCACAGGAGTAAGATGAGGCAGTCTGCTTCTATAAATAAAGATTTACAACCTTGGAAACCCTACGAGGCAGTTCTATTCTGTCCTAGGGGTCACTATGAGTAGGAATTGACTCAACAGCAATGGGTTTGGTTTGATTTTTTATTTTTAAATAAAAAAACGAGTCATTTTTTCTGCCCTGAAACAAAACCAAAAAATTCAATCTTTTGGTTGCTTTGGAATTCAAATAATAAAACTCACACGCTGCTCCCATTTTTAAATGTTACCTATTTCCTAATATTTTTTTCAGTATTCAAAGCACTGTCTTCCCCATCACCCCCAGAATTGCATAGGTATAAAGATAGCATTAAGGGAGGCCTGGTGGTACAATTGTTAAGCGCACCGCTGCTAATGAAAGGTTGGTAGTTCAAACTGACCAAGCAGCTCCATGGGAAAGAACTGGCAATCTCTCCTAAGGACTGTTGTTCTTGTGTATTGTACTCAGTCTAGAAATAGAAGCAAATTCTATGGGCCAATTCTATTCAATCACATGGGGCTGTAAGAAGTCAAAATCCACTTGACCATACCCAACAAGAAGAACATGAAAGATAAAAGCTCTAAATGACAAGCCTAATTCTGCACTCTCCACAATGATCACATATCAATGAAAAATTCTGACAGTTTATCTTCCCAAAGCTCAATTGTTAAGATTTGAAAGAGAGAAGTAAGTTGCCCCATGAATGGAGCCAAGAACAATTTCTAAAGAAGCCATGGAGACTAAGGGAAGGAAGTTGGGTTTCACTCTTAATGGGTTACCTATTAATGCTGCTTCAATCAGAGAGGTGTTGTATCTTAGCTTTTAAAAATCATCAACACTCATCTTATACTTTCATTGACAATAAAGCTCACAGGTGACAAATAGTGTAAGTGTTTAGAAATGTGTACAGAGCCTTGGCACTTGGGTCAGTGTGCCTCACCCATCAAGGAGGAAAAGAGGTGGGTGATGGAGAGACGGACATATTTAACCATCCATCTACTCCCAACATATATGAAAGCATTACAATTGTTAAGGTTACTGGTGACCTCCTTTACCTAGGTATATGACCCATCATATCCAAAGGGTGGCTTCTCTTCTCCCTCCTATAGCAGTAACAGAAGCACAATCTTAAGAGAATTTTAAGATAGCAGATCACATATCTTAGTCTCTTCTGCTATGGGACCCATCTCCTCCTCTTCCTGATTGTCACTGAAATCTGAATAAGTGTGAAAATAAAGTTACATTGGAAAATAGTGGTAAGATCCAAATATGTTACCATCATTTTGAGGAAGTGAGAAAAAAATTGTTTTATTAATCATCTGCAACATTGGTCAATACTATCTCTCTTGCCTCCCTGACATGTACAGCTTTGTACTTTATGCTACATGTAAGAAAGAACAAAATGTGAAGTGAAGACAGCCTAGGAAATGCTTGTAAATGGAGAAAGTAAGTTCATTAGCACTGATATCTGTTAAAACTACAGTAACAATAAATAATAAATTCAAAGCTGGAGAGAATAAAGTCAAGTTCTTAATACAGTTCTGCTTTTAGCATATTGTGAGTCAAGTCATCAAGAACACAGTGTAATAAAATAGAAAAGTCAGCCCATGAAACATTCCCCCTTCCCTGCCACATCAGAAAGGTTTCCCAAAGAGATGAAATGTGTGTATGATGGCGGGGGGTTGTTTTTCTAATGTTTTTATTCAGAAGGCACACTTAATACTGACAGTGCTTCAACAGTATTTACTAAAACTAAAAAAACCAAACTCACTGCCATTGAGTCAATTCCAATTCACAGTAACCCCTTTTGGGTTTCCAAGGCAGTCAATCTTTACAGAAGTAGATTTCCCAGTCTTCCTTCCATGGAGTGGATGGTGGGTTTGAACCACCAGCCTTCTGGATAGCAGTCAAATGCCTTAGGCACTATGCCACTACAAGAATCTACAAATCCTTCTAACACAGTGAATCTCAAACTAGTGTGCACCAGAACCACCTGGCAGGCTTGGTAAAACAGACTGCTGAGCGCTGAGCCTAGAGTTTCTGATTCAGTATGTAGAGTGGGTAGGGTATTTGCATCTAACAAGGTTCCAGGTTGATGCTAATGATATCGCTTCTCTGAGAACCACAGTTCTAACAGAAGCCCTGAAATCTAAGTCTTTTAGCAGTAGAAAAGAGGTGGCACTTGACTTGATGAGTAAAATATCAAATATTTTAGAGGCTGAGGCAATCATTTCAAAAGACACTTGTGCATCTTATACAAGCTTCCTGTAGTGCTTAACAATTGCAGAAACCACACCTGAACTTCAGGTGATAAAGGGATTCTGAAGCCTGCCTTTCAGAACATTGATATTCCCACTAGAAAAAAGGCAAGGGGAAGCATTTCACCCTAACTATTTAACTCGGAAATGTAATGTCACCTTTGCAAAAATTTGCTTTTGTCCTTTCCCATTCTCCTGCTATCTAAGTTATGGTATCTTTCTAAACAATAAATTCAGCTAGAGAAAAAGCTGGCTCTTTCAACTGCTAAGGAAACTCACTGCCATCGAGTCGATTCCAACTCACAGCGACCTCCATTGGGTTTCCAAGGTAGTAAATCTTTACGGAAGTGGATTGCCCCATCTTCCTTTAGTGGAGTGGCTGGTGGATTTGAACCACCAACCTTCTGGTTAGCAGATAAAATGTCTCAGGCACTGCGCCACCAGAGCTCCTTTCTTTCAACTGTTAGAGGCTTCATTAGAAAGCCTGAGGGAGCTCCTGCTTCCTCTACCTCTTTAGCATAAGGCAACTTTTCATTCTATTTTTGTTGTGAAAGGCTACTTCCGTAGTGATATGGCCTCGAAAACTCAAGGAGGGGTTACTATGCATCAAGATCAGACTTGATGGCGTTGAGAAGAATATTTTAATATTTAAAGGTGCTATTTATTACTATAAATAAAATATTACTACATTACTATAGGGAGCTCTGCTAGTGTAGTACCTAAGGCACCTGACTGCTAACCAGAAGGCTGGCGGTTCAAATCCACCAACCACTCCTCAGAAGGAAGGTTGGGCAATCTACTGCAGTAGTGATACTGCCTCAGAAACCCAAGTAGGGGTCACTATGAGTGGGGTCCGACTCGATGGCACATAACAACATTTATTATTATGTTGTTAATGTTGTTAGTTCAAGTCAAGTTGATTCTGACTCATGGCAACCCCATGCTTGCAGAGCAGCAGTGCCAAATAGATGTTTAACACTGTGACCTTTGGGAAGCAGATCACCAAGGCTGTCTTCCTCTGGGTAGCTCTGAACTGCCAACCTTTTGTCTAGTAGTAGAGTAATAAACCATTAGCACCACTCAGGGACTCTGGCATTTATCATAAACTAGATAAACTCATCCCTCACACATAAAACTATTTATATTCAATAGAACGGTAAAATGTGACTATTACTTCTGCCAGATATCCATTGTCCTACATCCACTGGGCACACAAAAATGGGATAAGATGAGGACTCAGCCCATGAGAAGCCAAGTGTTTTAATATCACAAACCTTTGGTTAATTTTTCAACATGCTTCTGCAACTCAATGTCCACATTAAAATGAACATATGTATCTTCTTTTCTTGAAGCCACAGGAGTATCTTGCACTGGAGTTAAATCTATGCCATTCAGATCTAGAGAGGAAAACAGAAGTTTCACTTAAATACATATCCTCAAAATTGTAACAATGCAAAGAAACTACAAAAGGTCATTTCCTAAAGAGGCTTAGAAAAAGCAGAGAGGAGATTTTCAGGCCAGTACAAACTCCCATTTGGAGTAAGCAGGTACCTGAAGAGCTTCTAGTTTCTTCAGAGGTACATGGCAGGAGACGCGGACGGAGATAGTGGGAGATCACATGGAGAGGAGCACGAATCTTGCTGTGCCCAAGTGAAAAAGAAAACTTGTAGAAGACAGAGTATGATCCTTACAATTAAGAGGGGAAAAGGACTTTTTGATTTCCTTACTGAGTACACCAAAGAGTCCTGATGGCACAGCAGTTAAACATTGAAGCTGCTAATCTGACTAATACTCAGATCAAACCCACCAGAGGCTCAGGAGGAGAAAGATGTGACAGTCTGCTTCCATAAAGATTTACACCCTTGGAAACTCTATGGGGCAGTTCTTCTATCCTATATGGTTGTTAAGAATCGGAATCAACTCAACAGCAATGGTTTATATACATATATATTTATATATTTTTAATTGAAGTAAAATACACGTAACAAAATTATTGTGATTTGGATGAAACTTTAGAGAGCAAATTCACTTTCCATACAGCAGTTCACATAAACTTTGTCTCATGACATTGACCATAATTCACAATACAACAGCTCCCCTCCCACTTCCTCCCCAGTCACCTCTTCCTTGTGTCTATCCCCCCATGCACCCCTGCCCCCTGAGCTGTCTCCCTGTGCAAAAGCAGCCCTTCTTTCTCCCATGATTGTTCTCTCCTAGGAGTGTATCTGTCTCAGGTCATGTTCAACTCATATCCCTGTCTTTTGCTTGGCTGGAAGCCACAGGTGTGGGTTCACTTCCAGACAGGAAGGGCAGCTAGGGGCCATAGTTGTAGTGGTTCCACTGGGCTCTATCAGACCAGCAAATCTGGTCCCCTTTTTGTTTTTTCCAAAGGATTGTTTTAGTTTTGTTCCACATTGTTCTCCCTCTCTATCTAGAATCTCCTACATAGATCCCCTTCCAAGTGGTTGACAGTGGTAGCTGGGCACCATCTAGTTCTTCTAGTCTCATATTCATATAGGCTAGGGATCGCATGGTGTACCAGTCGCTAAGACTAATTCTTTCCATGGATCATTGGTTTTCTTCATTCTTCTTTGCTTTGGATGAGGAGAGACTCATCGCTGCATCTAGACGGCTGTTTGCAAGCTTTAAGATCCCAGTTGCTACTCACCAAAGAAGGAAGTAGAACACAATGTCTTGTGTAGTATGTTATGCCAATTGAGCTTGATGTCCCCTGTAACTATGGTCCTGAGCCCACAGGTTCAACTACTCGGTCCCTCTTGGTAGCTGGCTGTGACCAGGAAGTGACTACAACCTTGTCCCTTGTCAGCTCTACTATACACCTGGGAATTCAGATCATACAAATACTTGTAGGACCATTGTCTGCCAACACTATACATGGTCTTGGGTACACTCTCTGCTTCATAGACATACCTAACAGTTTAGCTTGTCCACCCACCTATCCACCCATATACCCATGTTTGCCTTCACTGACAAGGCAGTACTCTATGTGGAAAAGAGTTCATCTTTGTTGTCTGTACCTCTCATGTACCTCTCTATGTCTTCCTCTTCCTCTGCCACCATGTTGATCACTCACATTTAGTACATTGCCCGTCTCTTCACCCAAATCAATACTGGTCTCTACCTATCTAACAGTGTTCCCTACCCTACCCTTCCACACCTGGTAATCAACAAAGAAAATTTCCTTCCATAGATAAAGGTTTCTTTGACTTTTACAATAATGGACTAATACAGATTGACTTATTCCACTCAGCATAATGTCCTCCGAGTTCATCCACGTTATGTGGTGCTTTGCCAATTCTAGGTTATTCTTCAGGATTATATAGTATTTCATTGTATGTATGTATCAGTTTGGTTATCTATTCCTCAGTTGATGGACACCTAGGTTGTTTCCATTTTTGGCTATTGTAAATAGTGCTGTGATGAACATGGGTGTGCATATGTCTCTTCTGGTCATGGCTCTCACATCTTTAGGATATATACCTAGTAATGGAATGGCTGGGTCAAATGGTATTTCTAATTCCAACTTTTAAAGGAATTGCTATACTGCTTTCCACAGTGGTTGTACCATTTTACAGTCCCACCAGGAGTGTATGACAGTCCCAATCGCTCCACATCCTCAACAGCATTTGTTATTTTCTGTCTTGTTGAACTTTGCTGCTAGTGATGGAGCAAGATGGTACCTCACTGTTGTTTTGATTTGCCTCTCTCTAATGGCTAATGATCGTGAGCATTTCTTCATATGTTAGTTGGCTGCTTGAATATCCTCCTTGGTGAAGTGTCTATCTTCTGCCCATTTCTTAATTGGATTATTTGTATTTTTGTTGTTGAAGTATTAGAGCTTTCTATAAATTCCAAAGATAAGTCTCTTGTCAGATATGTCATTGCCAAATATTTTTTTCCCAATCTGTAGGTTCTCTTTTGACTCTTTTGGAGAAGTCTTTGGAAGCACATAAAAATTTTATTTT